GTATACATTGTATGAAAGCACTACCTACATTATATTCACATACAATTTTCGGATAACAGAATGTTCGGATATTAGAATATGCGAATAATGGGAGATTCTAATGTAATACGAAATAAAATAAAAAATGAAGTCTCCACATAAATGTCAAAGATTTCTAGATATTTTGTGAAAAATTAGTTTTCATCGACTGAATGTGTTAATCGTTCCACATGTTCATCTTATTTTTCGTACAACCGAGTCGCGTAATAATATTTTCTAAAGAATCAACGATCGTACGCAATTGATCGAGGTAGTTTGCATGAAAGTGAATAATTCAGACGAAATCAATTTTCCATAATTGTTTCCGGAATGCTCGGAAATCCGAGATAAAAATGCCGAACCACGTGTCGCCAGGGGGTGGAGAAAACAGTGCATGAGAATTCCGAACGTATGTAGTCAGATATTTTCCACGGTAACGTTCGTATTCCCCCCTAAACCATCCTCCGTCGAATACACTTGGAATTCATGGGCCATTCGAAGAAGCGACCAAGAAGAAGCATTAGAATTATCATAAATTCCACAGTTCTTATTTCTTTAAGCTGCGCTTTCGGATGAATGGAGACGGTCCGTCATATAAACGCGTCTCGGGTTACTCGGCCGCGTTGGGCATATAAATCAACGGGATTAAACTTAAACTTCTTCGTATGTACTTTCTTTATTCATTCCATCGCGAGATCTGTATTTATATAACTAATTAATGCCATTACACCACAGATGTTTAACACATTCGCAATGGGGTAATTTCGTCCGAAATCAGACACATTTTTTAGTATCAATTCCGATTTTGTTGACACTTGGATATGTTGTAGTTTTTTGTGATATAAACGTATCTCGAAGGATTTTTGAGAACGTTAAAAATTGTTAATTTTACAGCTGTTTGAAATATAGTGTCAACGTTTTTTTCAGTAAACCATAACTGTTGAACGAACAAACTGATGAAAATGAGCTTTGTGGGTGCTTACAGTGGTAACATACGAATACCTAATAAAAATTATTTTAATTACAAAAAAATATTTTTTAACCATTTATTTTGTAATTGTTTTAAGGAAATGCAATGTTATAATCGCGAGGCACTATTTAAAATTTTGAAAAAAAACGAGGATATAGTCCTATTTGTCCTCTTTATGGACAAATTTTTGAAAATATGGAGGCTTTAAAATTGGTCATATGAAAACTAACTGAAGTTAACGTTGCGTCGAATCACAACGGCTCTGACCTTACCACCACATTATTTTGGAAACTTTACAGACTACGTTAGGTCCTCCAGCATTTTATTCAGTGAAGTGTTCTTATCTTCTCGATCAGAAATTCAAAAGGCACAGTACAGAGATAATGACTGACACCAAATACAGGTGAATATTGCAAAGCATATTCTGCTTTTATCTAAGAAAGTACGCTGACATGGAAATCAGAGCGTCACACATACATATGTGATGTTGGCAGGGACGTGTGAAGCATTTGTCATGAATGCATCTCTTTTTCCGCGAACGTACTAACGAGTAATTCACTTTTTACCAAGGAGGGAATCGTTCAGTTTAAATGAAAAAATATTTTCCAGTCGTTTGATCAATGAAACACGGCGTAAGATGTTAAGAAGCAACTGTGTGAATACTAATGAGGTGGTAGGGACCCCCAGGCTTCCCTTTCGAAATGAATACTGCATCCGTTGAATACAGCGGATAACTCATTGATGCATTCACCTGAATTCGCAATTAAGCATGTCCGACATTTAAATCGTTTAGACGATCGAATATGGTTCACTGTTCATTAATTTATACACGCTTCGCTATTTGTTCTTCTATTAACAGTGCAAAGTACTCTGTAATTTAGTCACCCCCAATGTTTCCCACCATTCCGATTCGTTTTTACATTCCTGCAAAGTTGCCTTCTCATCGATTTCACGAAACCACTGCGCGCTGCGACCGTGCGAATTGCAAGATTACGGAAATTCTAGGGTAGCCGCTGGCTGCTTCTACACATTCTATTACCGTACCTTGCATTCCTTATTTTGAGGGACAAGCACTTCTGTGAACAGTCTCAACAGTCACCATTAAAATCTGGTTTCTGTAATTTCGGCAGCCATCCACGAACGAAAAAAAACGGAGTTGGTACGCACTGATTTCAACATTTTAGCAACGTTAATTGATACAGAATTTAATACAAAAAGCCCAAATTCATACGATACGATTGAATATTCCAGAGCAATAAATGTAATAATAACGGATAAATAGTCATTTGCTTCCAATTTTACAATTTAAATGAAAATTTATATTGCTCAATTTGAAATATACCGATTAAATACATCTCAATGCCAAGTACAATTGGCTATTTCGATTAACGTGCTTGTACCAACGAGAATATCGATGAAAATAAAAACGAGAACACGTTTAAGCGTTTATATTCGTTGTTGCTTGCAAAAGCATTTTCACTGTACGAAATTTAGCGAATGTAAGTATGAATTTGTTAATCCAACAAATACACTGCGTGCAAATAATTACCAGCTGGTTCCCGTAATGGCTTCCCAAGAGATGGTGTACGCGTTCAAATACATATCTTTTTTCGCATATTTTCTTTTCATTATAGTTTTCTTCTTATTTGAACTGTAGTTGGAAAACTGGAAAATGTATGAGGTCGTATCGTGGTTCACATAATAAATAAATCCTTAGTAATTCTTTTCTTCTGTTAACATATCAGTTGAAATTCAAAAAATAAGGGTAGATTCCATCGAGTCTGATCTCAACAATTCAGGAGAATTAAAAACAAAAACTATTCCTCTTTTATTTAACTATAATTACTTACTATTAATTACCTGGGTCTTAAATTGACAGAAGTTCTTTTAAATGTCGTTTTGAAGTACCTCTGTTTGAAAATGAATATCTATAGTTTAAATTTCTTACTGTAAATTATTAATATTTGATTTAAGAAAGCACTTATTCTGCAAACGACTAAAAGGTACTTTAATAGGGGTCACCTAGATATTTTAGGGAAAAAAGCTGTTGTATACATTTCTGAGATGGAAAAGTCAGGTTTCACCTCGTCTACCGACTTGTATTTATCATCTCTTAAAATTTCCGCTTTTCTGCGTACAAGCGAATGTTGGCTTGCGCAAAACTTCGTCCAAATATTTACGTATGCAACATTCCCCGGAAAGTTTCAAGTCTATCAACTTCTCAGATTTGAAGTTCCACCTAAAACTCCTACAATGAATAAATTGGCACGCTGTTAGCGACTATGTATTTACTAAATAATGAAGTCTCGGGTATCGCGGCTTTTTTTTCTAACATCACACACTTTTCGAAACGAACCAGCGGGTCTTTAATTAACATTTCATGCACTGAATAGAATGAATATCTTTTTTTTTTATTTTAGAAAATGTTAAAAGTTCCAATCTAGTACAAACGCGTAATTAGTTAGACTATTGAGTGATCGATACCTTTGATAAATTATTCAAACTTAATAAATTATATCTACATAATAAAACTAAGTTTAATATTCAACATATATTTGAACGGCTAAACCGATAATTATAAAGTAAATCGAATATCAATGTTTATCTGTATTATACAAGTAGAAATATTCAATAATGGCACGGTCATACTGAGAAAATTGAACTGAACTGTACATGAAGTGAACAAAATTTTTAATTCGGTTTCTTTATAAGAAAAGCAACTATTCGATGAACCATCCAAAACATAACCCTTTGTAAAAAATCCTCTCTACTCCACTAGGTGATGATAGTGAAAGAAGTTCTTAAATTCGTTCCTGTAACGAGTGCTCTATAGTTACGGGTTAAATACAGTAATGTATCGATGAGTGCGACGTACTCGGGTCCGCATTGCAGCATTGATGGCAAGGCGGAAAGGCTTTCTTATCCCACTCATCGAGACATTATTGTATATAGTAACAGTAGACACTGAAATCACACGGTGTGACAGTAATCCAAATGGATGATCTCGAAACATATATAAAGAGAATAAGAAGACAAATACCAAAAGCAGTTATCGCGGTGACCTTGATAGGTCACTCAACGCCGGGCGTTTAACGTGAAGATACGGTCCTCGAAAGAAACGGTGGCAGCCGGGGAACACGGTTTATAAATTCAGGAAACGTAAACGTGATCGCGCGGTGTGCACTGATTCACCGTAGGAACGCTCCTTTGATGTTTGCAACGGCGTACTCGAGAAAATTAGAAACACTCGACGAATTTACGCGAAACCCGTTTCCCCGCCGACGTGCATACGTGCTCACTTACGTGTGTATACATACGTGTACGGGGGTCGTATTCGCTCGACGGTTAGGATGGAAACGTTCCGTGACAACGAAGCCGATGCACGGGATTCGAGTCGGGCCCGAGCATGGACGGATCAAACGCGAGACGGTTAATGACGCCTACAAGGTGAAACTTTCCCCTAGCGAGCAGCCAACTGCGTTACAGAAATTCTCGTGGATTTGAAAACCTTCATTAAATTTTGAACAAAAACGAAACCCAAACTAAAATCGTTTCATGAATCTTTTAAAACATATTACCGTTCTAGAAATCAAACTTCCCGAAAGTCATAGGCGTGGCGCAAAACTTTTAACCGGGCGTGCACCGTCGAGACCGTAACACAATATCGAATGTAGCCCCCAATAAAATGTAACCAGAACTACGTCGAAAGTATTTTAAATCTCACAATGGGAACAAACGCGATAGGAAACACGTCGCGTTCAAGTGCATCCTGTACCCTGGTCAGAGTGTATCGAAGGCTCTGTAGCACCGCGCGGAACAAGCTGACTTACGATGCGACACACGCGCGCGAATCGCGTGCCCGCCTGCCGGAAAGAGAGGGAGGGCTCTCGGTAGTGGCGGTGCAACGAACGTCGAGGGGCGAAGGGGGCGTGGCGGGGGCCACTGGGAGGGCATGTTCGTCGAGTTTCACCGCGATACACACATTGTAATGTCACAAAGCCGTGGTACTTACACACTACCGTGAGATTTTTCGAGACGGAGGCGGTGGAGAAGGTCGGCGCGTCTGCCGTAACTTCGCAACTGAATGTACCCGAGAGGCCGAAGTCGACGTCGCGCAGCGTTACCTGGCTCTTGTTCGAGTTGGCAACCTGAAACAGGAGTTGACGAAGGTGTGTAAAGTGAATGCAAATGGATATCAACTGCGAAGGATGCGCGCTTTATCGTGCGCGCGCCCGCCCCATTGCTGCTGCTGCCCGGGAGACGCCTGGAATCCTGTTCGTCGATTAACGATAACTCGATTCCGCCTGGCGCGGTTATAATTCGATTTAAATTCCACGCTGTTGCGGCTAATCAACGGATATATTCACGCGTCTCCCGTACGTTTTGCGCGCTGCATAGAGGGCGTTCATCCCGATTCATTCTCCTCTTTTGGTTATTGTCGCTGGTGTACCTATATAACGTGGTCGTGAAATTTGTACGGCATGGAAGTTTACATGCTTCCAGCGGCGAAACAGTACTTGGGCGAAGGTAAAGAGCTTAGTACAGTGTTGATGGAAGAATGTACACAGATATTTTCAATATCAATTCACAAATTACTTCTGCAGCATAAGAGTCAAGGCACATTGAGTAGACTCGCGATAATTACCCGCATTTGGGGTTCTAGAGACGGGCAGTTCTAGGAACGGATAATTATCTGAAGCCAATTGCAGGTTGGATCTCTTCGGAGCTTGATTGATGGACGTTATTCACCTTTATTGGCACGCGTGCGTGTGTAAGTAATGCCTGTGAGCAAGGGGCATTCCTAACTGGTGTTCAACCAGCAGGCAGTTATCGCGAGTCTACTGTGTCGCTGCTTAACGCTTTAATTTTCGACCACGCTATATAGGTTCCACTTAGTATACCTGTTTCGTTTTGGTGAAAAAAAAATACAAAAAAAGGTGAAATGAGATTTTTGTAATTACGGGATAGATGTACAAGTGTGTAGATGTGAAACATTGCGGTTCGGAATTTGGGATTATTGCGGAAGGGTGGAATGAACCTATTTCATGTAGGGCAATCTTTCATTTTTTTCTGAATTCTTGAAAGATACAGTATTTAAATGATACAAAGTGAATTATAAGTTTATAGAAATAAAAAATATCTACTAGGACGGTCAAGGAAAATCTTCTACCGAGAAATTAATACGAAATATATTTCAGAATTTTAACGTTAAAATTCTTTGACCGAATACCAGCAGCATATGGGGTTACTGCATAGAATCGACTTTAAATATCACGAGTCCTGAGTATATTTTATTGCTGCGCATCTGCATTCTGAATATCAGAATGCACATATCAATTCGAGAAATCTTCCATATCTCTGCTGAACATGCAGGTCATTCCAGATTCTATATATCATATCTGCTATGCACAAACCTCGAATTTGGGTCAAATCTATTCGAAAGTCTATTGACAGATATCTTGACACATTCCGGAAATCTTTCTTTCATCAAAATTTCAAGATTTTCAAACCAATAAAAGAGTGTCAGCTATATTTATTATACACACGTTTTTGACCAATTACTCAATCGTAAAAATGACTGAGGAGATGTAAAGTGTTGATTCTCCTGTCGATATATAATATTAAATTACAAACCACACATTTCAAAATAGAAGGAGAAGATTCATACGACCATGCGAATTTAATTATAACACGTTTCCTTTGTCCGATATCGAGCTGAATAGCGAAATTAACAAGTACATGCACGTACTCGTCGATTGTTAATAAGCAAATTAATATTAACTATTGTGCTCTGGAATGATTGGCGATGTTCGATAATCGGGACAAGGGGATGAAAGCTTAATACATAAAACGAATCACGAATTGAATGACGATTTCGCTCGCTCGTCGCGTTTTGTGTTTCGAATTGTCCGTTTTCATAATATCACCGTAATTACCCCTAAAATTGCTTAATCCACGTTGCCTTCGCAATTTCGCAGCGTAATACAAATTTCTATTACGTGTACAGATGTATATGCGAATATACTACAAAATGGTGAAGCTTTTCCAGATTCCATCTAGCTAGAAAAATATGAACGTTTTCAGTGTCAAAATAATTCTAAGAAGTGCAATGATTATACAATCAATAGTGCAATTATTATTGTTCTCACTATGAATACATACGCGTCAGGTGTAGTTTGAAAATTGATTATCTTCGAAATGAATCATCGTACGAGAAAATGTTATTTTACATTTTCGCCTTATTTTTGCATGTTCGGTCACATTGTTTCGGTTTGTACCGCGTTTTCGGAAATACTTTGTATATTCTGGTCACAGCTGCACATCTCGAGAAAGGACTCTGTTGTGCAGATGTCTCTTGCATCGCTTCATCGAAACAGACGAGGCAAAATTTGTATAATTAGCGGGATTTAACGAAGCAAGAAGGTACCAGGTAAATGGAAGGGAAGGGGTGGCGGAAGCGTCAACAGGGTCGGAAGACGAGCGAGCTTTTTCCCTTGTTAATTTATGTGTCACGGAGTGCATACAATGCGGGTAAAAATTGAGCAGAGACCGCGAAAAAATCTGGTTATTACAGAATCCTTGCTTCTTCTTTGCCGATGTTATTAAGTTTCTATTAGCGATTCAATCAAATTCAGTCTTTTGTCTGTGTACCGGGGCTGGCAGGGCGGAATGAAATTCAAAAGGTGAATGAGATAACAAAAACCGGTTTAATTTCTTAGGGCAAAATTAGGTTTATAATAATGACCCGTTTGTTTTCAAAAGATGCTCGGTGGATGAAATGTTGTAGACAAAAGAGATATTATACGTGCGAAGACAATAGGAACATATAGGATTGTAGATGTGTGTAGAGAGCTATTCGTGCAATTTTCTGTGAGTATAATGTGTATATACGGTATTGTAAGTTGTGATTTGTAGTAAATAATGTACGACGGAGATGATTTTACATGTAAAATTTAAAACCAGTGTATAGAATATAATTCTTTGTAATGTATTTTTGGTTCTTTTTTTTCACTTATTAATTCTACTTACGGTGGGGCATTACTTTCTATTTCTTTGACTGATCCTACTATGTTCTAAATAGTAATTTATAATAAATAATTATAGAAACAAAATAATATAATGTCACCCTAAATATTTATCTGTCATTAACACAAGTAGACATGATCAATAATGCATGAATCGCATAGTACAAAATTTAATACAATACCTAGAAATAATAGAAGCCTCCATTTACGTTTGAAATGCTTAAAACAATACAAAAAAAAATTGGTAACATACACATACGAGCGGCGCGATCAAATGAGAGTAACACACCTGAAAGAGACTTGAAAGTCGACAGTCGAATCAACTCTAATCGACGGTGACCGGTATCAAACGAAAAAATTCAACGTCTCTTTGGTTCGCGCGAGCAATATTTTTCATTTTGAGCTTTCACACACGACACGAGGGGCAGCTGTCTCTCCTCTCCGTGCGAGTAAGCGACAGGAGGGTGCAGTCCCATAGGTGACTGGTTTGATAAACGTTGAAAGCGAAGCGTTCTCACACAGTTTCACCACCCCTACCCCTGCCTAGAATCATTCATTGGACCCTGAAACAACATGAAGGGGTGGGGGGGGGGGCGAAACTTGTTTTCAGCCACGTAAACGCGTGCTTACGGAGGTGGTTGGGATCGATCCCCTCCAAAACTCCCCAAAGCGCTACGGGGAACCGCGTGCAACCCGTGCCCACGGAATTACGTACACGGATGTGTGTACCAATGATGATAAAAGCGGACTGTTTTACGCCGATTACAGCGGTCCTGGATGCTGTTAACGAGCATCCACCGCTACAATGTGATAAATTCGTGTAACTGGTTTGGAGAGGGGTGAGATGAGGGGACGGGATTGTAACATCCACCGCCACTTGCAGTTTGATGACTCGTGAATGGATGTTTTATTTGGGGAGTAAATTAAGATCATTATTCGGTTTCTGAATATTCCGAAAAATTTTTTGGGTAATTGACACTGGCGCAATGTTCGGTAAATTGTTGCGTTATTGTTTTCTGAATTGAACTTGGTCTAACAAGGGAAGGCACGGATGTATCCCCCTCCGATTTTGATGAAACTTCGTATGTTTGTTAAGCAGTGAAAAATAAGGGATACGTATTTTTTTCTATCGGCTGAGACGCGACTTTAAAGGGTCAAACCACCCCTCGAAGTTCCGATCCGAAATTTTTTTGTTATAAACAAATTATATTTTGGACAATTTGTTAGCACCATATTATTCTACATAAAAAGCCGCAAACCTCGTCCAATTAGAAGTTTTCATGTATCTCCTCTGGTTTTGGAGATAGTACTTTCGATCGAAACTTCGAGGGGTGGTTTCACCCCTTAAAGTCGCGTCTCCGCCGATAAAAAAAAATACGTATCCCTTATTTTTGACTGCTTAACAGACATACGAAGTTTCATCAAAATCGGAGGGGGACACTTCCGTGCCTTCCCTTGTAAGTTAAAATCGAATTACAGAAATATACATTACAGTCTCACATAAAAAACTATGTGTACTACTTAGGACACCTGGTTCATATGAAGAAAATATGATGTTTCGTACATTTTGGGCCACTGTAATTAGTTTATATTGGTGTAACTGTTGCTCACTGAGCTTCAAACTTTTCCACACAATGTTCACTTGAGACCTTCAACAATTTCGTAATGCCCAATTGCATTTTCTTCGTATTAAAAAAGTATCCTAATATATAGAGTAAATTCTCGATGAGTGTTCGAAGTCTCCTCGGCACCGAACATTAAATATTTTATAAACTAATGGTCATATTAGGCTGAAACAAATATCATTGGCTTCAAAAGTCCAAGCTCTGTCACCTCTCCGTGTCAGTTCTGAGTTGCCTCCGAAAACTCATCAAGGATTCACTGTACATCTGAATAGAAGTATAGAGTGAATAACAATAAATCTTTATGAAAATACAAATTCTATATTATGGTTTACGAATCCTTGTAAACGAATGTATAAGTTGTATATGTATAGTGTTTGGCACGGGTCACGAGTAACCCGGCCATCGGCCTTCGCGGTGTGCAGCGAGCAGAGGTCAGTGAATTCTGATTGCATGCTACTTCAAACTTCCCTGAAAAGCGAAGAAAAGAAAAACAGGAACGCCGAGAGAAAAAAAGGGGGAGACTTACGTCAACGTGGATCCCGGTGATGTTGAAGATTTTGGTGGCCGGATCCTCGCTGGGTGTGAAACGGTAGAACTCGTGCCTGCCACGGTACCACTTGAGGGAGTAAAGGGGCGCCTCCTCGAGATCGTAATGGCACCGTAGCATCGCCTTCTGACCACGTTGCACCGCCTCCGGAACTATTTCCAAGCTGACATCCCGCAGGCAGCTCGCACCTTTGTGGGAAATGAGAACAGGAACGGAGCATTAAGTCTAGTGTGCATCATTAGTCCGCTTTTACTCCTCGCGCCGGAGGTTGCACAGCACGCGTCAGCGAGAAATTGCAATTCCACCGAATGACAATTCCTCTCTCTTCCGCCATGTAAACCCTCTCTCTCTCTCTCTCTCTCTCTCTCTCTCTCTCTCTCTCTCTCACACACCTCACTTTTCCGTGACCGTACACACATTGACACACATATATGCGCAACCTACACGAACGACCCTTTACAAACATACAATTTTTCTTCTTCTCGCTTTTCACCCTCTAGCCTATCCATCCGCTCTTTTGCCATAACCTCGATCAACCGTACTCCACCAGCTCCTCTACCACCTCCATCACCACCTCCACAACCCCCATCTCCCACCCCCTCCAGCCGTTAACCCCACATTCTCATCGTTCTCTCCGCGAATATCACAACGTATATACCCCCCCCCCTCCAGGTTTCCATCTTTTTGTACTTTTTTGCTGACGTTTCGTTCACTCGGATTATCGACGATTCGAACTATTAAAGCCCGGAGGAATTGAACTGTACGTATATGCCATTCATATTAAAACAGAGAGCCGAGCTTTGCCGAGGCGCTCCTTGATGTCGCTGCAGGATGAGACCTCTTATTAACGTGCTAGCTTCCGGCAACACGGAAGTAGGTGGATGTCACCGAGTCGACGAATGGGGACAAAACCTCCGTGGGGGTGGATTTCGACCCCTCGAGACACGCGAAAAACACACCGTAATCTGGTGCTTTGGTCGGTCGGTGTTATTTATTCGAGAAGCAAGACGTTGAAATTTTCTGACGGATGGGAGAGCTGACTTGCGGTGACCTTACCTAACGACACGAATTTCTAGCTGGCGAATGTAGATAAATGCCATGTTTCATAGACTGAATAATGTAGACAGAGGCAGCTGTTCTGTTTGTTAACGAAATATCGATTTTATGTACGAATTTGCGAAGAGTTAAAATAAAATATAAAGGTTAATAAAGATACTGTTGAATTTTTACTGTGATTGTACACTTAAACCAGGCATAGCACTAACATGCAAGGGTCACATGGAGAACACAATAAAATTCTTCAAGGAATGATTTATAACAAAAAATGTAACTTTAATCTAAAAATAGTGTCAAGTTCGTCGTTAATAACCGAGAAGTCAATGCCAATGAAGGGAAAAAATAATTTTAATCTTGATTGGGCCTTCAAAATATGAACGTCCTTAAACTTTAATTGGCGAGGTGAAAATCATATTATTTTATACCATAAAAATCTTATTGCATTTTCACGTAAGAAAACAAAGGAATGAATGAGTATATCCCTTTAATTAACTATTGAATAAAAATAAAATATTCTAAAAATATTCATAGGGGTTCTTCAGACTTCACTCTACCGGTTAAGTGTTCAATATTCGCAAATTGAGATTATAATTATACCTTTGAACGTTCATTTTATAATTCTGAAATTGAATAATTTGTGATCGTCTATATCGTTTGTAAATAATCCAAAGCCTAAGGAAATGTTTCCGAGTCCATTATTGAAAAACCGTGACGCTGACCATTGAAACGAGATTATATTCATAGTACACGTGTAGTTCTGTGTAGGTTGCACAACCTGGTCCACAAAAAAATGTTTCCACTCGTGTTTGCAGTGACGACAGTTGTGTCAGCCATGCAGAATGCAGATAGTCCTCTTATACATCCTGGACTACATATTTCATCGATCCTATATCCGCCATTGTCGAATTGAAACGCATCGAGCACATCCATTACTATAGTTTTTTGTCGATTTACACAGGTAGCGCACCTAAACATTCCTGAACCGTACGAAAGTATGGAAATCTTGGTCAATCGAAAAATACACGACTCGAAGAAAGAAATTTCACGATACAGAAAATATTTTCTGCGGTCGTTTGGAGAATTCCTTTCAGATTTTTTCCTTTACATTTCTTACAACAGTAGAAATTCCTTACAACCAAGATGTGTATTACATGCAGGATGATTCTAGAAACATGATCAAACTATACCTTTTTCTTCTTAGAAGAAGGAAATTGTCTGCTGTAGTATTGATATTCGTACAAATTCCACGGATCCTACTAGCAGAAAATTGCATTTTCCACTGTTACGAAGTCCTATCGAATAAAATCTCGAAGATTTAGAAATATCCAGCCCGAGGTTAGATGGAAAAATTCCGATGAAAGACAAATTTTCGATCTTTTTTAGAGTGACTGCGCGCATTTACATCGCTGTTACGTCTGTTAAACAATTAAGTTACACGGATCAGGATTAAATGCATTCTATTGCAAAAGTACACATTATAAATCCGTAATTTCAGCTTTATTTATTAGAAATCATTACGATTCCGCGATAAAACGAATAAGAAAGTAAATAAATATTGAAAATGAAACACCAGCATTAATGATAGATTTCCTTATTTGACGATTCAATGATACACTATAAAGTAAATAGACCTACAACGTTTTCGTTCCAACATGATGAAATTAAATAAGGTACGTACTAATTTCACACGAAATGTATGACGTAGACCGATACCTTCATCGATCTCCGCGAACCAGTGTTTGGCGACGTTTGTCACGGCGGAGAGAGAGGCAAGAAAAAAAAATAAACGAAAATTCTCCGCTCACAAAGGCCAAGATCCGAGAAGTTGGAAGAGCTTTTTCCCCCCTTTCATTTCGAACTGAAAGGAATTCTGGAAAATGCAGGCAGGTACATGCCGTATGCTGAAAGTTTCTGGGGACTGCTTTTGAGGATTGCAATGTTCTCAATCTCCGTTCGCCTTCCACTAGTTTCTCGGTGCATTATTCGATATACCTACATTTAACGCAGGCGACCCGTTTCACTGCTGAAGCTAGAGCCATGACTGAAAGCGCTGGCTCGATGGCGTCTTATAGTTAACTACCGCCCTCCTTAACACGCTCCTTGACTTCTTAATATCGTATGCACTCGTAAGTAATACCGAATCCCGGAGGCAATACTTTCATTTCCGTGTATACCAATTTTTTTGACATCATTGGACTCGTTAAATTTATTTAGTGAATTAATAAAATTTATCTACAGTTTCGATTGTTTCCTTCTTTAAAATAAGCTCGCGATGTACAACGAAATGGGTCATGCAACCAAAGTCATAGACATCATAGGTATTTGGTCAATAAACGTCGGTGTAAAGGAAAATCGATTCAGGTGAATATTGTATGGTTCACTTTTGTTATTTGTAATAATAACAGATTACCTACAGTTTTATTTAATACGTTTTACTCCGCATTGACATTAAGGAACCATTATTATTATAATGTTTAACAACATCTTACATTGTTTCTGAATTTAACGGAAGTGGAGACAACGATTTATGGAAGGATAAAAATCCGTATGAATTTCAAGGTAATAAACTTTTTGTCCGTATACTTGTTGAATACGCTTTGCATTTTCACAGTACTATATGCAAATTCTAGAAATCTTTCTATGCATATTTTACTATGTAAAGATAATTATTCAGCGTTGGTTTTAGCCAAGTTGAAAGTCTTTCTATATATGATAAAATTAATGGCACTTCAGTAGAGTTTCCAAAAGCGTTAAATATAAATATACGATTAACTAATTGCGTTCAACGAAAGCTATGGCAGTAAATTAAGATTAGCTGACACTAGTAATTATCAGAAAAATCAGTTCTTCAGTGTTCAGATCGTCACATTCACTATACTATTCTATAAAAACAAGAATTTATGAAGTACCGAAGTGAAGATCTTCTTTTACACAAAAAATGATACCAAACGAACTATAATAATTCATCAGAAATATCACAATTATTGACTCAAACCAAGTCGATTGATCAACTTAATATCCCACGTACAGGGTGAGTCAATAAGAACTACTATCTAAAATAACTTGTTACCTATTAGATGTATCAAAAAACGTTTAAAAAAAGACTCAAAAATCCCAGTTTTTCCTCGTTGACAATTAAATCAGAATGTTAGTGTATCCCGAGTCGTTCGTTCTCTATTGTCCTCTGAATTCTACAGCAGCAATGCTTGTCATACATTTGGTATCCCAATCAATATTTTAGTTTTCATCGATCGCACACATCGAATACGTGGCTTTTCCATGGCTCGAAACTTCAGATGTTTTCATAACAGACGAGTACTCCTGTCCACCACTTCGATCTCTGATATTCCCAGCGAGCACCGCACCTACGAGCATATTCTACGGAAATTAAGCTCCGCCTCGTGACCGCGAAAGGCCGCAATCAGAATTGCAAAGTCCTGTTGGCTCTTTTCCTGCGTGGCGTTTTTTCCATTCTGTCCGCTCGCAAACAACTTCTGCACGGCGAGTTAATACTATTGAACGCGGCATGTAAAACGGAATGTCCATAAGGCAGGAATATTCAGCGAGCGATATATTTCTTCGAATGGCAAGTAACGAATAAAATGTGGCTATATTTTTCTTTTTGTCATTCTTTATTAAAGATATAAATATTTCTTATAAAGATTTATTAAAGAATAAATGGACGTTTCAGTTTCTGTCTTCTAGCAAGAATACGTAGCAATAAGTCGTAAGCAAAATCTGATTGTTAAGGTTGTTAGTGGCACAGTTATGAAATTATTAGAAATTCTTTAGACTGTTTAATAAAACCTTATCTGTGGTAGAACGTCTTCGTACATTCTCTTTAGCAACAACGGTTCTTTACAAATGTTTCACTTCTTTAAGACCCGAGTCCTTTGTTTCCTTACTGGTGAACGCAGTTTTTCATATTGTCTTCAACTCACGTGTATATAACTGATGCTGGGTTTCTTTAGCCGTTTCTACTTATTTTTAAATATTAAGTTTCAGGTACGATTAAAAATTAATTCATTGTTTCGTCTGATACTAAACCATATCTAAAACAATTCACTGTTTTCGTGTGTATATGTATATATAGGTCCCCTTCTTGATACGTATTTCGTTTCATTTTTTTAAT